AAATGTAAATTCTCTAGCCCACCACAGACCTACTGAGTCAGAATCTTGGGGGCTGTGTCTCAAGGCTATTTCTCAAGACAGAGAAGCACTGATCTATAGCAGCACAGTGAGCGCTATAAGTGTTCAGCAGGCACTAAAATCAGGGAAGGGTCTTGAAGGATGGATAGGAGGGGAGAGCCATTCCCAGTGGAGAAATGGCCCCTGTCCCACCAAACTGTAATTGCACTTTACGCGAACGTCCACTTTTTCCCACCCTACCCCCTTAGACCAAGGAGGCCACCATGAATGAGAGAGTGAGTTACGTGTGTTTGGGCTTACGCATGTTTGCTCAGGAGACAGTGAGAAACCCAGTCCAGTTAATGTTACAGGTTTGGGTAAATAAGATAGATTAGAGCCAAACTGCCAAAAGCCTTAAATGTCAAGCTATCAGGTTTGGACCTCAGTCTGCAGAAATAAGGGGAAAATTGAATTTATTTGTGCAGGGGAATGACATAAAGAAAGCAATCGTTTAGGAAGAGACATCTGAATTTTAGAAAGAATGGGACTGAGAGATACAGGAGGCTCTGTCACAAAAGTCCAAGTGTGAGGCACTACGACAAGGATGGCATGAGGCAGGGATAAGACGGAAAGGGAAGGGAAGACGAGGATACAAGGAACAGTACGAGGCAGATGGACAGGACTTAGTGACACGGTGTGAAGGGTGAGGAAGAGGGCATCAAAGATGATTTCGAGATTCTGATCTGGGGTGAATTGGAGGATAAGAAGACCATTTGTGGGAGTAAGAAAGCTGGCAGGAGGGGATGGATTAGTGGTAGCGGTATACGAATATATACTTGTATTTATGGTTGAGTTTATGTAAAGTTTTAAAATATATTCTACATAGATTATTTTGTTCTTTACAATAATTCCTGCAATATAGATAAAAAGTCTTATCATTCATAGCTTCTAACAAAAGAAGTGGCAACTGAAAGTTGAAACAATTGGCCAGGTGGCAGGCCAGTAAGCGGAGACCGTGTCTCACCCTTGATCTTCCCGCTACACCATGCCACCCACCTTTGTGTCTTGGGGGAGAAGAGAGAGGGTTTATCATGAGCATCCCTCTTCCATCCTCCCATGACACCTGCTCATGTTTCCCTTCCTACACTTATAGCAACGTATTATAACTGTTTTTGTGTTTTTCCCTCATAAAATGTCAAGCTCTTAAAGACAACGTCTTTCTACATTTTTTAATTTATTCTTTTGCAGTGTTATTTCTCTTTATCTAAGATCTATGACAGCGCCAGGCTCAGAACGTGTACCTAAAAAACGTCAAGTGAATGAATGAATGAAGTGTAAGACAGCTAAGTAGAACTGCTGAGGGGCAATTGTAAGTGCAGAACTGCAGCTCCTGGAGAAAGTGTTTTCATTCTTTTCACTTAAATGAAAGGATGGCATCTCATTTTTCTTTTTTTTTCTGGTAAGGAGGATTGGCCCTGAGCTAACATCTGTTACCAATCTTCCTCTTTTTGCTTGAGGAAGATTGTCCCTGAGCTAACATCTGTGCCCATCTTCCTCTATTTTTTGGATGTGGGGTGCCGCCACAGCATGGCTTGTTGAGAGGTATGTAGGTCCGTGCCCGTGATCTGAATCCGTGAACCCCGGGCCGCTGAAGCAGAGCGTGCGAACTTAACCACTATGCCACTGCACCGGCCCTGGATGGCATCTCATTTTAATGGTATGAGCATCAATATCAAAATACAGATAATGATTTTATTGTTAGGATTGAAATCTGCTGAGAGTCAATTCAGTTTAACAAATACTGGTTGAGCACCTACAGTGTGCAGAAGAGAAAAATAATGTAATAGTCTTAGCACTTAGAGAGCTCACAATTTGGTGTGAGACACAGACACACAAACACCTAAATACCATACAAGACCGAATGCATTCGGTACAAAGGGAAGAACAGTGAGTCTTGAAGTGCAGAGAAAGAAGTGGCTACTTCTGACAGGATGTTAGGAAAGCCTTGCTGGAAAAGGTAGCATTTGGATACGGCCTAGAAAGATGAGAAAGCTTGGCTATTTGGAGAGAGGGGAGAGACACGTCATGAAGAGAGGCATGAGGGCCAGCCCCGTGGTTTAGTGGTTAAGTGCGCGTGCTCCGCTGCTGGCGGCCGGGGGTTCCATCCCGAGCGCACACCGATGCACCGCTTCTCCGGCCATGCTGAGGCTGCGTCCCACATACAGCAACTAGAAGGATGTGAAGCTATGACCTACAACTATCTGCTGGGGCTTTGGGGAAAAAAATTAA